AAGAGGTCGGCGCACTGTGACACGTACGGCGCGAGGAGGGTCCGTACGCCCTGCCCTCTCTCTCTCTCTCTCTCTCTCTCTCTCTCTCTCTCTCTGTCTCTCTCTCGCTCGCTCGCCCGTGCGCACTTTTGCATTCGTGATTTATTTCTTCTAGCTCTGTCGTTTTCACTTTCTGCGGAATGTTTGTCTTTTTGGGGATTCTTTTTTCGCAGTCGAGCACTTCTTTATTTTTTTGGAAACAGGGCAGGGCCCAGTGCCCAAGGCTTTTTCAATTACAAATCTTTATTTATTTATTTTTTTTCAATTACAAATCTTGAAATTGAGATGCAGGGCCCAGTGCCCAAGGCTTTTTCAATTACAAATCTTTTTTTTTTTTTTTTCCCAATTACAAATCTTGAAATTGAGATGTGGGCTCTTTCTGATCGTCTCCCTTCCTTCGCCCTCCCAACATCAGAAAGCTATTCTGAGGATAAGATGCTAATCCTATATCTACTAGAGCTTGCTGCAGTACATTATCAGAGGGGTTTTCCCGCCAAAAATCTCTTGAACATGGCAAGCGCCTCCGCAGGCTTGTACTCTGGCACAGTGTGACCTGCCCCTTTCACTGTTGCAAAGGTCAGGTTACGGTCATACGTGACAGTGTAGCCGGCCACTTGGTCCTTTACGTACCATGCCTGCCATGGGCGGACAATCTTCTTGCCAACGTCCCGCGTCCATGCCTCAGAGCCTGTGTACGGTACACACATGTCATGATCCCCACTGTAGATCAGCACCTGCAATCCCTCTCCCATTAACTGCTTATGAATGGGAATCATACTCCCGGCGTCGTGATGGTAGAGCAGGACATTCGTACAGATCTGGAATTCACCAATCTCTGAGACCGACTTGGCATGCATGGCGTCTCTCACATCTGGATGGTTCATCCATATATCGGATATGGAGAGGTCGTCACAAGGCACACTCCCGTATTCAGGCATAAGCTCTGGCCAAGAAGGCACGTACCCAGCTGTGACAGGTGCTCGCAGTGGCCATGCCCTTCCAAACATCCGCACACGTGTCCTTCTTTCTTGACCCAACTGCAAGAAGCTCTCTGGCAACCGGCCTTTCTTTGCGATTCCCCTACCGGTAGTACCTCCTTCCCCCCTTCTCTCTTCCACTTCCACTCCTGCTCCTCCCTCTCTAGTCTTCTGTCCCTCTAGCCTTGCCTCCTCGGAGCGCTCTCTCGCTTTAGGCTCCTGCTCTCCTGCGTCTGCGGCAGCCGCACCCTGGCTACCCAACCGTAGCAACCCGCCGGGGAGGAGCTTCATCACCCTTCCCCCAAGACTGGTCATCCCAGTAACTTCCTCTCTCTCCCCTTTCTCCTCTGGCTTTCCCTTTTCCTCCTCCGCGTGCCCATTCCCTTCCTCTTTCTCTCTCTCCTCTCTCTCCTCTCTCTCCTCTCTCTCTTTTTCCTCGCCGCCATCTCCACCGCCATCGCCAAACTGCACCAAGCTCGCTGGCCTCTTCAAGGACTTCCTCTCGAACTTGTTTCCTCCTTCCTCTCCTCTCCCTCCTGCACCTCCCTCCATCCCTGACGTCTCCTCCCTCCCCCTACTTCTGCTCCCCCCCCCGTACGTATGGCTGTCAGGGTGATAACACGGCTCCAAGATGTCGTACATATTCAAGTCCTTCAGATCTTCGTCCATCTGGTCTAACAGCTCTACGCATTTCGGCGACGTAACCTGCCAGTAGTTCTTCTTGCACACCTTCTCTAGCTCGTCATGCAGGTCACTGTCAATGAGGCCCATGCCATAGACAAAGGGGACCAGAGCATTACCGTCGTACACGTTATCCGTGCAGCCATTGCCGATTAAATACCCCTTCAGATTGATCTTGGGTTCAACCCCTTGACGTAAGCCTTGCACCACCTCGCGAGCCAGGGTGGGCACATATATGCCTGCATATGATTCGCCGGCTATGAAAAAGGGGTTCTTTGCGAACTTGCGGTACTTAGTAAAAAACGCGAGGAGGAAGGTATGCGTGTCCTTGGCTGTCTTCAGATCACTTGTGTTATAGTCCGTCGGAGTCATGGAGTAGGACAAACCGACACCCGCTGGAGAATCGAGGAATACCACGTTGGCTACTTTGTTCCAAGCGTAAGGGTTCCGCTTGAGCTTGGGAAGCTCCGACTTAGAGGAGGCAGCTTCGAACAAGAATGGACCCAGCTCATAAATGAACCCGTCGAAGCTAGAGCAGCCGGGACCACCATTGAGCCAAAGGATGACGGGATCTGTATCGGGATCGCGTTCGGAGGTCGCGAAGTAGTAGTACAAATTCCGCCCATGCTTCTCATCAACGGCAATATACCCCCCGAAGTGCTTCGACCCGAACTCACCGTCGAACCCCGGCAAGGACTTAACTTCTGCAGAATCCTCGCCTTCATCTTCCGCATTGGAGAAGAGAGAAAGAGAGAGCCTGGAGGAGGAGGAGGAGGAGGACGACCCCTGTGAGGAGGGGTCGTCGATACCTGAATCGCTCGACAGAAGGATAGCCTCCGCGCGTTGTCCAAAAGACTTGGACCTACTAGGCTTCCTCTGCATCAGACCCTCTTCCACATGCCCGACTGCAGGAGACGTCTCTCCTCCAAACTCACGTACCGACGCATGGGCGGACCAAAACAACAAGCCATAGCAAAAAACAACGCCGAAGACTCTGCCATACATCGTCACAAGCGGGGAGGTGTCAGCCACAATCCCCGAGTGCCACGTCATCGTTCGTGGTCTCAACTGACCTGCTTCCCCCAACTCCAACTGCGGTGGAGCATGGACTCTCTCTCTCTCTCTCTCTCTCTCTCTCTCTCTCTCTCTCTCTCTCTCTCTCTCTCTCTCTCTCTCTCTCTCTGTGTGTGTGTGTGTGATGCCCCGCCTGCACGTGCTCCCTACGACTTGCAGAACTAGTGACAACAAGGGGCAGAAAGCAACCGCGCCGCGCTGCTCTTCAGCCGTTCTCTGCCATGTACCCGCTCTCCTCCTGCTTGACTGCCACGACTGAGCTCTCAGCGGCAATGGTAAGTAGCGCTCTATCCATTAGGCTACATCGCCTCGTCGCTCGTCAGGTGAACGTCTCTCTCTATCAAGTATAGTAAAAAGCGCAGCCCTCTCACCCACGTACGATAAGAAGCGCAACCTCCGGCCAGATCACGTGCTCGGAAGACGGACCACGTCGCTCTCGACGTCCTCACGTTGTCTTCGTATGGATCTCGTGGGCTCTCAATGTTCTCACGTTGTCTTTTCTAACTAAATGAAAAACCTGACCGTGGGATTGCACGGCATCGCGCGGCCGATGTCTGTTGTTCTCTTGCCACACAAACCATTTCTCTACCCTCCCCGGCTGCAAATGGTACGGCACCCCAGGGGCACGGCTCCACTAGCAAGGATTTATGACATGGAACTGCCCGTGTAAAAAAGCTGTATTCATCTCTCAATTTCAACTATCAGTATCTACCTATCACTACTCCTAAGCCTATAGCTCAGTTGGTTAAGCACGCGAGTGGCATTCAGGAGGTTGTGGGTTCGAGCCCATGACTACCTGCGGCGTAATTAGTGCCAACCGACTGTGGACTGTGATAGTCCACTTGATACCCCTGATCGGTATTAACACGCGAGTGGCATTCAGGAGGTTGTGGGTTCGAGCCCATGACTACCTGCGGCGTACTTAGTGCCAACCGACTGTGGACTGTGATAGTCCACTTGATACCCCTGATCGGTATTAGTAGGGTCTATGATCAACACGGGTGTGAGTGTGAGTGGGTTGTGTGTGGTGTGTGGGAGAGTGTTGAGTGTTGGCCATAGCCACTGCTGCGACTGGATGGTGGGGGGGGGGGTAGATGGGAGGCGCAGCTGCTGGCAAAATGCTCGATCTTTGCATTAGCCGGCCCCACCCGACTGCGGCTGCGTCCTACTCCCTGACCACCGATTAGGGCAGGGCGCAACATGCATCCCCCCTTTTTTTTAAACCAGGCTCCAGTCTATTCGTGGGGAGCAGCACGTGCTTAGAACTGGGCTCAGCGTCCCACATGAAAGATCATAGAAAATTATGAGATGAGTTGAGAGAGAACACCGGTGCTGGAAACCGGGTCCTGTGACACCCTAACCTCACGCCCAGCGCGAGTTCCTGATCGGAGTGGGATGGGAGCCAGGAAGTGCGAAAAGGGGTGTGCCAAGGATTTTAGGAAAGTGGGGGTGGAGTCAGGTCAGAACTGAGATCTTGGTCCCTCAGTTATATTGGACTTCGGGAGACCAGGCTACCTCCGGTATGAGTGTCGTCGTCGCGGTTGGTCCCGTATCTGGTGGACCGGTGGGTTGATATGGCTGTTGCACTTTTCGAACAGCTGCCGGCGCTGCTCGGCCTCGGCTCGGGTTCGTCGTCTAAATCCCGAAGCCCGATACGTCTGGTGCTGCTGGCACTCTTTGCACGGTGTGCGGGGCCAATATCGAGGTATGGAATTCCACAGTACCACTGTGAGCTGATGGTAGGGGAGGAGAAGATGGAAAGGGAGGAAAACTGGTAGCAATAACGATGATATGACGCCCAACCTCACGCGCAGCGCGACTTCCTGATCGGAGTGGGATGGGGGCCCGAAAGTGCAAAAAAGGGGTGTGCCAAGGATTTTAGGAATGTGGGGGGGGCGGAGTTCCAGGTCGGAACTGGAATCTCCTGTGTCGAGTTTCAGGGGTAGAAGTGCAAGTGTCTTCTGGCTCAGAGTTGGGGCGATGATCGATCGTGCGACCTGGGCCGGGGTGGGGTGCCATGGGTGTCTCTGTGGGAGTGCTCGTACCGCTGCCGACCGTCGCAAGTCTCGGGGTCCGATGAAGACGAGTTGGGTTCTCGTCGCCCTGTCCTGGGATGGATTCGTTGCGTGTCCCTTGTCTGCCGATACTCGACGGGCTGCCGACACTCTGAGCACGACGGACGGGGCCAAAATCAGGCTATGGAGTCCCAGGGGATTACGAGTAACCGGTGGTAGGGGAGGACGATATAGTAGGGAGGGAAGTTAGTGGCGATTGCAACGAAGCCTGGGGTTATAAAATATTTCTGGTTTCGGCTGTCGGGATAATCGGGAATCCGCGGGCCTCGGTTGATTGCCAGCTGGAAGTCGCCCCTGCACAGTCGCTCGTTTTCAGTCCGGCAGGGGTACTCAAGGTGCCCAGGGTTCCGTAGGTGGCGATGTTGTCGGATCCGCTACCGGCGAATTTGTTCCCTCTCCCAATACACTCGATATTCTGGGTCCCTCAAGCTTTCGCGATCGGTGATCCAGAAAGGGGAATCTATCGCCATGTTTTGTTCAACCGAATTCATGCACACACATCTTCCTATGGGGCGAAATTGTAGCTGGCTTTTGCAGGCGTGGGTGTAGATGGCAAGTCCGCGGACGTCTGCTGTCTTACACGTGCGTGCGCACCGACCAGTTGATCAGATCCTAACTGCGCAAATAACCAAGGAGCGATCCGTCGGCGTACCGGCTCAACCATGCAGCTAGTTCCCTTAGGCTATCTATCTCGTTCCGTTTTGGACTTTTCACAAAGCATACACACCAGTTAGTCCCCGAATGTCAGAGGGCGTCGGGACCTTAATTTGTCCCGACCCGTATTGCAAATGGGGATTCCCTCATTCATATCGAGATCTGTCGTGCTAAGTCCATTCGGGGTTGTGGGCCGGCCTCGTGGGTGCGCGGGTAAGTCGCGCTCGTCATATCGCACTTACACGGGGACTCGCGGGGTTGGTCCGCTGTGGATCGATCTATCAGCCAATCACCTATGCAAAAGAAAGTTCATGTAATCATGCAATAATCTTTCAGCCATTTTTGTTCGAGCAAAAAGCAGTTATGTGGCCATCAGGCGGAAAATCCCCCTCCCGGATACGCAACACAACTCCCTTTGATTCACAATATGACATCGCCTGTGGATATCTCATCATCATCCAGACATACATCGAAGCACCGCAACAGCATCCGAATCAAACTTCTTTCATTTTCCAATCATCAAAGCGGGGATAGATTGGCGATGCAAGCGCTGGGTAATCTCAGGGGTATTGCGCCAAACATTGGGTATTCAAGCATTACCAGATCATCAAGTCCATCCCATGGAGCGAGTACAAAATAAAACAGGAAGGACAAACATTAACCCATACATCCCACGATAGCAAGCCGAAAGAAACGTCGAAATGCAAAACAGGGTTGTCTCGTCCGAAGCCAAAATTTTATATACAAGGACTGAGAAAGGACAAAAAAAAATTACACTCCCACACCCATCTCTCTCCGCTCTTTGTTCCTTCTCGATGCGGACAGTCCGTCGTCTCGCACCTACCAACGAAGTTGTCACCCCGCTTAGTTTGCATGCACCCATCAGGGTCGCCCGTGCGCCATAGTCCGTCGTGGCCTACACGTCAACCCCGCGCACTTGGCACCAGCTCGTCGGGTCGCCCAACTTCCACATCAACTCACCTCTTACTTTGCTCATTAGCCGACCCGCACTGATCGCGCTAATCTCGAGCTTCCAAAACAACTTTTAAGAGAGCTATTTAATCGCGACGACGAAATTTATAGCATTCATGCGTGCGTGAAGAGTGCAGGATTGCATGGATTGAAAAGAGGAGAAGGGAAGGCAGTGTCTGCATTTTGCATGGCCAGACCGCGGCGTGGGGGACGTAGCCACACTCCACGCATCGATCCGATCATGCAGCGCGTCGACCAATCAGACGTAGCAAAAAGGAAGGAGGCGGGAAGAAGGCGAAAGAAGAAAGATACAGCTACAATGGCGCCCGCCCAAAAATTACAGTTGCATGCAAGATTAAGGCGCCATCTAGCCAGAACTTCATTCCCGCCGAAGGAAGATGCGCGCAAGAAAGAGGCGCCGCTCGACAAGAAATTCAAAAAGTCCTAAATTCCTATCTGAACTCGAAATTGCAACAAAAAAATTTCGACGAGACAGAAGAAAAACAAAGAAAAATATAAAAGAAACCAAAATTCCGAGAGCCCTCCGGGAGCTCATCATTAGTTGAAAGGAAAATTTAAAAGGAAAACTGGAAAGCTCCCGCACGATCATCGTGCCAAAAATCTCAGTTCCCCTTTTTTACTCTCAGCAGAGCAAGAAAAAACCATCGCCAGCCGTTATTGATCACGCCCAACAGGCCGCGCACACTCAACCGTCTGCCCCAGGCCTGTCCCATCACCGCTGACAGGTAAGAAGCGAAGCGAAGGAAAAGAAAGAAGCGAGGACACCGACACAATTTTCCCTCCGATCCCACTCCCCGTAGTTTGCCCAACCCTCCCATCTCAGGACCCCTCATTGTCATCGCGCAGAAAGTCGCGCGACACAGAAAGTGGTTCGTCACAATGAAGCCCGGAGATATGTAATATTGAGTATTGTTAGTATCCGGGTAGTCCAGGCCCCGGGGATCGTTAGTTATGGCCCAATGAAAGTCTCGTGCGCACAGTCGATCGTGCTCTGTAAGACAGGGGAATTCCGGATTTCTCAAGTTTCCCCGCCGTCTGAGTTGTTCACCCTCCCAGTATTCGCGATACTTTGGGTTCCTCGGGCTCTTACGATCGGTGATCCAAGAGGGGGTTCTTACAGCCATGTCCGATTAGTAAACTCGATCTCCCGCATCCTCATAATGAGTCAGGGTCGAGGTCGACTCATGCAAACGCACGTGTACTCTGCGACTCGATTACCTAGAGATCACGGTCGTACGCGAGCGCGCACATGAGCGGAAGTTGATCAGGCTCAGGTTCCTCACGTAGGTGTATCGGTTGTGTCCTCCCTACATGCAGCTATCCTACCCAGGTTATCTCATGTGAGATCCAACCATCACATTCCCATCCATGCCATTCAAGTGACGAAGGGAAAGAGAAGAAGGAGGAGAAGGGGGCAATCACAACATTCTCGGTGATCTGATGGTTAGACCAGACGTCCGTAGCAAGTATTCCCGATCAGATCCGGGACTATTGCTTGACACAGATGGATACTAGAAAGTGATGAGTTAACTAAACATGCATCATAGGACAAGAGGAGGGAGAAATTCAAAAAGTTTGCAAAAGAAAGGGGTTCACATCCATTTCATACATACACACGACAAAGAAAATCCGACACGATTTACAAAGCAAGTCTGAGAGGGCCGCAAAAAGATCGGCCAAGGTCGAAACCCAAAATTATACAGATACAAGTGGACCCACCGCAGCCACGCTGCGGCAGAGGACAGGGACGAAGAGGGGGGCGGGGGCTGTTGTTGTTACACTGCCGTTTTTTTTTTTTTTTTTTTTTTTTTTTTTTTTTTT